GCTCAACCCAGCTGGCCAGACCGAGAAAAGTCGGGCCCATGCCGTGTCTGGGGCCCTTCAGAACCCAAACGGCGGCGCCGAGCCCCAAAAACCTCGCGCCGCGCGCGCAGGTTCCAGCAGCGCACGCACACGCACACGACACCAATAGAGCGACGAAAACCAGCGGGTGTTACAAGAGATGGCATGGCGATCTTACGCGGTGGCTTGCGCGAACCTGCAGCGCGGCACAGCATTAGAAACGGGGGGCGCTTACGCGAGACCATACGTGAGTAGCTTACTCGACAATTCCCGCGTAGACGACCCCACTCTCTGCGTCACACCCAAGAGCCCATTACACCTTACCGTCAGAACCTGTGAGCCCAGTGGGCCTGTGCTAACCTGGCGGAAATCTGGGGCACCCATCCCGCATAGGTCGTCGAGCCTCGTAGCCTTGCAATTCCGACCGCGCTGCACATGGGCCCGACAACCTGGGCTATCGCAGCGCCGCTTCCAGCTGCTCCAATTGTTTCGACGCGTTGGCCCCGAAGGTCCGGACCACTTTCCGATTACCTTGGCCAAAAGTAACACCAAAAATGGCGGACATGCTCCTTCGAGGTCGGCACGCCCTTCAATGTCGGTACGACGCCCTTCTCAATTTTCGGGACCAGGGCAGAGGTGGTCTAACCGAGAGCGGGCGAGTCGGAAGTTCGATTACAACCAAAATTGGAGGGCGGCGCATACGAGTACCACGCACTCATCGCGACTCAAGCAAATATCTTCCCGTACACACTTCAGCTACGTAAGACATGTTTGAGGTTAATCCCACCAGCCCTCTGGGCGTAGGTGGTCTAGGGCGGCTCCTCTTCAAATCCCCTTCTTCTGCTTCGGGGAGGGGTTCACCCCTCCCCCTTACCCCCTCCCTTGGACCTGGACGTGGGAGGCGGCGAAGGGTTATAGCGTCCGAGATGGCCAAAGACGGCTCCAAAAGCATCTCAGAGAGCCCAAGATGACCTCCAAGATGGCTCAAGATGGCCCAAAATGCCTCAAGATGGCTCCCAAGATGGCTCCCAAGATGCTCTAAGAGACCCCCAGAATCATCCAAGAAAGCTCCAAGTGGCCACAGAGCCTCCCCAGGAGGCCGCCAAGAAGCCAAAATCCTTCAATAATCTATGAAAAATCCATAAATGTTGCCATATCGCCTTTTCGCTTGCGTTGGCCTTCCGAGTCTCAAAATGGCTCCAAGAGGGTCCAAGAGGGACCCAAGAGAGGCCCAAGAAAGCTCCAAGACGGTCCCAAGAGCGCCCAAGAGCGCTCCCAGAGCGCCCCATTAGCGGCCCAAGAGGCGACTCTTGAGGCTCCCGAGGGGGGGCCCTCCTTAAACATCCCCCCTTCTTTGATCGATCTCATCCTAGATGGCCTCAAGAGCGCCCCCAAGGCTCCCCAGAGCGCCCCACGAGGGCCCTAAGAGGCGCCCAGGAGGCCCCAAGAGGGCCCAAGAGGCCTCCAAGAGGTCCCCAAGAGACCCACAAGAGGCCCCAAGAGGCTCCCAGAAGCACCCAAGACACTCTAGCAGGCCCCCGGGGCCGCCAACAGGCCCCCAAGACGCTCCAAGAGGCCTCCCAAAAGCTTCCAAGAGACATCCGAGGAGACTCTGAGAGGCAACTCGTGGGCATCGAATCTGCATGGGCTGGTGGGGATACTTTTTGGTACGCGGGCGCGCGAAGACGAACCGAACGCCGCGCAAGCTAGGGCTGGCCGCGCCGAAGCAAAAGGAAACACAGCGAAGCAGAAGGTTGCAGAGCCAGTTTTGCGTTCTGGGTCGGTTTTTAACGCTCCCGAGGCCCGGCGAGGGCCCCCAGAGGCCGAAAATTGCCAAAAACCGCCCGCTCCAGTCCCTTTGGAGCGTCGGAGCTCTGGGTCGATCCCTCGCGAGGTTCCTTCTGGGCCCGTTTCTCGAGGCAGATCTGGCCGCAGCGACGAGAAGCCTCCGCGAGGACCCCGCGGGGGCGCCAAAACCGATCGCGCAGCGGGCGGCGCGGGAGAGCTGGCGGGGAAGACATGGAGGGGGAGGGAGAACGATGAGAAGAACGAGGAGGAGACCGTGCCCACTAGCAGTGACTCCCAATCGTTCCCTGCCTGTCGCATGCTCAACCGCGCGGGCAACGACGCCGCGCTGATCATCAGATGGCC